AGGAATGCCACCTCATGCATGACATCCTTCCCTAACTAGCCTGAAATGATTTCTCTGATCTTTAGGATCTTACAGTCATATCTATACATCTCTGTGACATCTGTTTCTTTTCATGTGTATCATAGTTATTTATGAGTAAGTTTTATCATAACTTGAGCATCTTTCTTTTCTGTCTCTATATCCCTTAGTGAGGCTTGGGGCCTTATGCATACAAATACACAGGAAAGACATGTTAATGACTAAGTGAAGACATCATATGGTCGGTTTGGTTGTGTTATCATCAGCATTCACTTTACAGAGTGTTCTACATCTGCTGTCTGATAGAATGTATGCAAACCATGTACATTTACCTTATACTTTTAATGCTTTGGTGACCACAGTCATCAGTCATATGTGACAATGTATGTGCCTTGTGAGTAACAAGCCTCCATTTTCTTTGTTCTTGGACAGGAGAATCAGATGAGAGGGAACAGTCAAAATTGGAAGTGAAAGTTTGGGACCCAAATAGCCCACTTACAGATCGACAGATTGACCAGTTTTTAGTTGTAGCGCGGTGAGTATGGCACTATGGAGTCAAGAGATGTCTTTTCTTTTTATAAAAGAATTTATAGAAAATTTATGAATTTTCCTTTTTTTGTGTTCTATTTTTCATTGGTTTTATTTTTCTTTTTCTAACTGTGTAAGAAAGTTGAATATATATCACACCTCTTCCTAAATAATATGGTTTATTATCATTAGTTTCTGTTTTAAAAATGAAAATAGATTTATTAATTTTTACTGATTAAGAAAATAAATGCTCCTTGTAAAGATGTAAGCACTACAGAAAAGTATAAAGTAGAAACTCAACACCTGAAATCCCATATCTTTAATTAAAGCAGTGATCTTTAAGCTAGTCAGGGATTATTCAGGTGTCAGTAATAATGTGCTCCTCTAATTGCACCCACGTGTGAGTAATGTCTGTTGGCTAATAGGTGTAAGGCTGTCCTTTGAGAGTTCTAAGCCTGGCTCCCTAGCTGCCTTGCCCACCCCCTCACCCCCCCCCAACCCCTTTTCTTGAGAAAACGAGTGGACAGTAGTTTATTTTTTGAATTATAAAAGTAAATGATGTTCATGGGGGAATTGCTGCAAAGCAGAAAGTAAGTGAGATTATCATAGCATTGTAATAGGAGAAAAATTGGAAAAAACCTAAAAGTACATCAGCAAGCAGTTGATGAATGAATTGAGGTATATTTAGTAATGGAGTATTACTTTACAACAATGAAAATGAATGAATTAGGGCTATATGTAGCAAAGAGATAAACCTCAAAAACAACGTTGAGTAAGAATACATACAGTATGGTCACTGATAAAAAAATTTTACAATGTGCAAACAATTGTCTAATTTCATTAATGGGCATATGTATGCATATGCATATTATATATATATGTATGAGTTCTGGGAATGTGTATTGATAAAATTTATTTCCTTAAAAAAATGAACCAAGCGACTTCCTGGGTCCAGTGGTAAAGAATGCGCCTTCCCACGCAAGGGACGTGGGTTTGATCCTGCTCGGGGAACTGAGATCCCACATGCCACGGCACAGCTAAGCCCGAACGCCCCACAACTAATGAGCCCACGCGCCTCAACTAGAGAGCCTGTGTGCTGCAAACTACAGAGCCCGTGTGCTCTGGAGCCATGTGCCACAGCTAGAGAGAAGTCCGTGCACCACAACAAAGAGCCTGTGAGCCGCAACGAAAGATCCCTTGTGCCGCAACTAAGATCTGATGCAGCCAAAAAAAAAAGAAAAAAACAAATGTGGCAAAATATTATCTTTTTATTTTTTATTTATTTATTTTATTGAAATATGGTTAATTTACCATAGTATATTAGTTTCAGGTGTACAACATAGTGATTCAATATTTTTATAGATTATACTCCATTTAAAGTTATTACAAAATAATGGCTATATTGCCCTGTGCTGTACAGTATATACTTGTTGCTTCAAACGTGGCAAAATATTAGAATGAGGTAGATTTGGACATGATTACAAGCATCTTCCTTATATTCTCTAATTTTTTGTTGAATGTTTTTTATAATACAAAGGACAAGAGGGTCTTAGCCCATCCTTAGCACTGTTCATAGTGCCAGTCACCATGGAAGTCATACATCGTATTGGTGGGTAGGCATTTAGACTACAGAGCCCACATGCCTAGCCACTAACTGATTAGATGGAGAGACTTGATATATATATATTGTTGGGGAGGAGCCAGTCAGTGGAATAGAGGCGACTGAAGATTTGGGAGTGGAAATGAATCATTGGTGGAACTGCTGCCCTTAGAGACTCCAGACAGTTTATCTGGATTTTGTATTATTTAGTAGATTTTGCAGTTTCAGGTTTGATTTTCATTGTTTTTTTTCCTTTTCCTGATTACGACGGGCCATGTTTTCTTTTTTCTTGAAGCCAGCATGAGAGGCACCAAGGAGAAGCACCTAGTATCTTTTTCAATTTTTGTTTTTTAAAAAAAAAAATCTAAATACAAATTAAACCCAGTTAAGCACCACTGCACATCCCACCAGAATGGTTAAAATTTAAAAGACTGGGCTTCCCTGGTGGCGCAGTGGTTACAAATCCGCCTGCCAGTGCAGGGGACACGGGTTCAAGCCCTGGTCTGGGAAGATCCCACATGCCTCTGAGCAACTAAGCCCCATGTGCCACAGCTGCTAAGCCTGTGCTCTAGAGCCTGTGAGCCAGAGCTACTGAGCCCGCATGCCACAACTACTGAAGCCCACGCGCCTAGATCCCATGCTCTGCAACAAGAGAAGCGACCGCGGTGAGAAGCCCACGCACAGCAACGAAGACCCAACGCAGCCAAAAATAAAATAAATAATAAAAATAAATACATAAAAAAAAAATTTAAAAGGCTGACAGTGCCAAGCACTGGTGAAGATGTAGGACAACCAGCACTCTCATATTCTGCTGGTTGTAGTGCAAGTTGGTGCAGCTGCTTTAGAAAACTGTTTGCTGTCATCTAACACACATATCCCTTAAGTTTCACTCCTAAATATATACGCAGCAGAAATGCGTACACCTGTGTGCCAAAAAGATACATATACAGATGGCAGTAATGGCACTATCCATAGTAGCCCCAGCTTGGAAACACATGTCCATCAACAATAGGGTGGGGGTGGGGCATCGTGCAAAGTAATGCTCACAGCAAGGAAATGAACGAACGCAGCTCATTCACAGCAGGCAGCACGGGTGAATCCACAGACATAGTTTTGAACAAAAGAAACTGGGTATGAAAAGTGTGCATAGCATGTGATTCTGTTTAAGTTTTCAATTGAGCAAAACTAATCTTTGATGTTAGAATCTGGGATGCTGGTTCCCTTCCACTAGGAAGTAGTAATTGGGAAGGAACCCGAAGAGTCTTCTGGGTGCTGTCATGATCTGTGTCTTGACCTGGATGCTGGTGGCATGGATGCATTGATTTTGTGGTAACTGGATAGCTGTACAATGTGTGCTTTTTGCATGTGTTTTTATATTTTAATTAAAACCTTAAAAAAAAAATCTCTTCCTCAGCTAACATGTTTAAAACCCAGACAACAAGCGGGAAGCGTTACCTTCATTTCACGCTTTATTTCTTTTTCTTTTTTCTTTCTTTATTTATTTAATTTTATTTTTGGCTGCATTGGGTCTTTGCTGCACACAGACTTGCTTTATTTGAGGCGAGTGGAGGCTAATGTTCGTTGCGGTGTGCGGGCTTCTCATCACGGTGGCTCCTCTTGTTGCGGAGTGCGGGCTCTAGGCACACGGGCTTCAGTAGTTGTGGCACGTGGGCTCAGTAGCTGTGGCTCATGGGCTCTGGAGCGCAGGCTTGGTAGTTGTGGCTCATGGGCTTAGTTGCTCCACGGCATGTGGGATCTTCCCAGACCAGGGCTCGAACCCGTGTCCCCTGCATTGGCAGGTGGATTCTCAACCACTGCGCCACCAGGGGAGGCCACACTTTATTTCTTGAAGTTAGGGTTCTCTGTGTATGGGAAGGCCTTCTAAATCATTAAATGAAAATCAGTGTTGTGGTAATTGTTTTTTGGTGTTTTTTTTTGGAAATCTGTTATATATTGAGTCCTTGAAAGAAGAGGTTGCTGCAGTTGATGATATCTCATTTCAAGGAAAAAATGTTATTGGGATTTCACCGTTTGAGCTAAAAATGTGGTCAGAACTTGCTTTGCAATAGTAGTGAAATTCTGCATCAAATTTATTTCTCATTTTTTAAGCACATTTGGAAACCAGCTTCTTTATTCCATGGCATTTCATTATAGGTCTTTCCCTTCTTTATGCCACACAAGCCTCTATTTCTTAATTTTTAAAAAAAATATATTTATTTATTTATTTTGGCTGCAGTGGTGTTAGCTGTGGCATGCGGACTTCTTAGTTGCGGCATGCGAACTCTTAGTTGTGGCATGTGTGCGGGATCTAGTTCCCCGACCAGGGATCGAACCCAGGCCCCCTGCATTGGGAGCATGGAGTCTTACCCACTGGACTGCCAGGGAAGTCCCTCTTTTTCTTAATTTAATTGTAATGACACATATGTGTAGTGAATTGGCTTGTCAATTCTTAAATCGTAAAGAAAATACTTTTTGACTCATATTTGATTCTTAAACATCAAAGAACTTGCTTGACTTTTACAACTGTTCGTTTGCTACCCAAATGTGTTTTTTGTAAAGATGAAAAAAAAAACAGTGCCTTAATCTTTCCTCTTTGTTTGTGTGGTTTATCCAGTGCTGTCGGGACATTCGCTCGAGCCCTTGATTGCAGCAGTTCTGTAAGGCAGCCTAGTTTGCATATGAGTGCAGCTGCAGCTTCTCGAGACATCACCCTGGTAAGATGCTTTTTGAAATTTGGGAGTTATTATTTCTTCTGCTACTTGTTTAATTTAAAAGCCAATATAGCAATGTTGTAGATGTGAGAACTTCCTGGCTCTAAGCTCTGCTGACTGTTAGGTTGATTCGGCTTGGCTGGTTGATTAACTGCAGTGTCTCATTCCTAAGTCACCCCTTGTGTTTGTGAGCTGGGACAAGTAAGAATGACTATTCACAGAGTAGGTACAAAATGATAAAAAAATATTTTGGGGAAAACAATTCAATATTCTGATTCATCTGTTTTCACTTTGGTGCTTTTATGGTATATTCCATCTACACCAAACTACATACATAGTTGTAGCTCACACATAGTGCTCTACAATTTTTTTAAGTGAAAGTAGCCATCTCTTGAAACCATTGCTATAGGAGTTGTTCTATTGTCATGCCATTAGTCAGTATTAAATATTTAAAGTTTTTTTTTGTTCATTAGAAAGAGGTTCTGTTTTCTTAAATTATTTCATTATGTTATGGTTGCTATCTTTTAAGGCTATTTCCTTTCTTCCCTTGGTGATCAAATGAGGCTTCCCACGTTCAGCTTAATTATACCACTGATGCCTGCTGTGGCTGGGCATTGGGCTTGGCACTTGCTTCCTTCTCTGCACCCTCCATCAAAGCAGACCTGCATGTTTTTGCCTGTTGAAGTTCCTTAACTGTATTGATTGCCACTCCCTCTGAAATAGGCATGGTAGGATGCTCATTTTACAAATGAGGAAACTGATGTATGGCAAGGTTAAGTTGTTTGATATTCATTACACGTAATAAAAGGTAGCATTTTGTTTTCTGATGGAATGGAATACAATGATAGGTTTTATTACTTTCTCATTATATTCCAATTTGAAATGTTTCCCACAAAATATTTATCATGACAGTGTAAAAACTTGTACTAGAATGCACAACAAATTTGTTTCTTATAGTTCTTTCTTGTATTTTTGTACAGTTATAGATGATGATGAAAGCATTAATAGTCTATAGCCTTTAAGGAACCCTTTTCTCTATCCTTTCTCAAAGACTAGAATGTTTATAGAAACAAGTTTTATTCTCTCTGTTGGTACATTAATATTTTATGAAAGTTTAGGGGTTTCAAAATAGGTTTGTATTTTGGTTGTTTAGCACTTTTAGAGTGTTTTTTTTGAAGATGCAAGAGTACACGTGTCACTTTGTAACAACCTTAAATCCTGTCAACAGATATTTATGTGAACCAGAACTACATGGAATCTAATCACTACCTGTTTAAAAAATTTTTTCCCCCAATTCTAAAATTAGTGTATTCTTATTATGAAAAATTTTAAAAGTAAAGTACAGCAGCAGCCAAAAAAAAAAAGTTTTGTCCTCAGTACCCAGAATAGAATATTCTTACCATTTTATGTTTCCTTTCAGCTACTTTTTGTGCATTGCAAACAATATACTAGCAAATTACAGAATAGTACAGAAGATAATATAATAAAATACTATGCAATGCCACCTAAAGCAGATGTTAACATTTTAGTTCTTTGGATTAAACAGATTTTCAACCACTATATAGTGTGTATAT